TTGACTTTTTGACCAGTAATCCACTTGGAGGCCCTCCAAAGTGTCCTCCACTCTTTGCTCTTTCTTTTTTTTTTTTTTTCCTAGAAGATAATTCAGTGTAATGACAAACACAATTAACCCTAAACTTTCAGAATATTGTTTTGTTACATGGTATTTTGAAAGACTAAAATTAGTTTTCTGTTGTCTCCAAGAATCTTTATTACCTTTGAGGGAACTGTTTAGCTATAATTGATGACAAAATGTAGATTTTTTAAAACTTTTTAACTCATAAATTATTTAGTCAGTGTACGGCCATGACATGAAATATGAACTTGAAATTCAGTCTTTTCTTCCTATTCCCAAATCCTGATTGGGATTTCTAAATAAATTATTTAGTTATTTAGTTAGTCCCATCCTCCTTCCAGGAGCAGTGTGATCAGAGTTTACACCGTGGCAGAGGAGATAACATTGACCAAAATGTCCAAAATATGAGGATTAGAGAATTGCTGCTGCTTGAAAAATATATACAATTTTGTTATTAGGCCTTTTTTTTTCCTTCTTGAAAGATGTGCTGCCACCTAGAGTCATATTTTATCTGTTCTATATTAATACCATTCTCCATAATTTTACAATTCTAAATATTTCTGCAGAGTCATGTGGAGAGGTAATAATGACCATCACTGACTACAGCCTCCTGCAGTTGCAGGGGAATGTTAAATTAAACTAATAAAAAGGATTCGCAGAGTAACTGCTCTGTGTCTTGGCCTTCCCAAAAACACAAGCTATAAAACACTTCCCAGGACTAAACAAACTAAAGCACAAAAGATCAGAAACCATGAAAAAAAAAACAGAGAAAAAAACAAATAAAAATCAACTTATATTACTGAGAAAGATCAGGGACATTCAGAACTTCATGTCCTTGGGCTCTGTAGTGGGAGGGAATTTATTATGCCAAAGTGTGCACATAGACCATGTTAAAGACAGACTCTAGCTTATTAACACTCAACATCTTGCAAGATTGGGCATCGTCTTTATATATTCCTCTTTTTTCCCCTGATTCATATTTTCTGACCTTTTTCTTCTCCATAATGAGATTCAAAATTACATAACTGACATTTCTAGATTTTCTTGGGTCATTGTTCTATATCAGTTTCATCAATACTTCCAACATCTGTGTAATCAGTCCTATCAATCCCTTGTAGAGCAACGAAGATGATTAAGGGACTGGAGCATTTATCTTATGAGGAAAGACTAAGCGAGCTGGGCCTGTTTAGCCTAGAGAAGAGAAGACTGAGAGGACATCTGATCAATATGAGGGGAGTACCTGAGGGGAGAATGTAGGGAGGATGGGGCCCAACTCTTCTCAGTGGTGGCCAGTGACATGACAAGGGGTAAAGGGGACAAGTTAAAACGTATCTCCATGTAAGGAAGAACTTCTTGACTGTGAGGGTGACAGAGCCGTGGAACAGGCTGCCCAGAGAGGTTGTGGAGTCTCCTTCTCCTTCTCCTTCAAGTAGGTGTCCCTACTTGAGCAGAGTGGGTCGAACTAGATGATCTTTAGAGCTCCCTTCCAACCTCAACCATTCTGTGATTCTGTGATTCTGTTTCCATGAATTTTTATTATATATAGCATAGATGTTGTCTCTTTTGAGGTGTGGGGGGGATAGGAGCTCAGTTTTATAGTTTTAGTATTTTTGATAAGTGATATATAAACATTACTTCCTTCAATATTTTTTCTTCTTTTGTCGCTGTCTCTCTTTCTGGCCTCTGTCTTCTAACTCATCTTCGTTTGTGAACACAAGCATAATGCATTTAAAAGGACACTGTCAAGGTACTTTATAATTTTCCAACTCTCCTTTATTTTTGTTTGTGATTGTCCCTTGCTATATTGAGATAAAATCTCCTGTGACAAATTCATGTTCTCCTATAGTTCACACAAAAGAGAGAGTTTTTGAAATTCATTTCATGAGGCTGAAGGAATTATTTACTATAAAATAAAATAAAACAAAACATTCATTTTATTAAATGGAGGAAATACAATGATAGGCATGGATTTGCAAAATAATATGCAAAAGAATAGGGAACTCAATTTTTGGACTTATTAACCTTGACAGTGTTCTTTTAGTAGTAGTTATTTTTATATTTATCTAGCTTTTTAAATGTTTTATCCATTTTTCAGACTTTTCTACTGCATCCTCTGATGCATTCTCTTTGTTTCTGTAAACCTTGTTGTAAAGTCAGCAAAATTGAGACTTTGCTATTGAAACAAGTGTAGCAAAATGATTTACAGCTTTACAGCAATAAATTATCTTTCTATCTTCACCTCCCTTTTTCAATGAATACAAATAGCTTTTTGTTTTGTGGGGCGTCCCTGACACTTGCTTTGAATTCTTTACATGGCAAGTTGGTCACATACAAATATTCTTTTCATATGTAAAAGTAAGAGAGGAGCATTTTTCTGTGGCTGCCAACTAAGTGAATTAACTAAGACTTTTACTGCACAGTATAGGCATTTTCAAAACATTGCTTGCAGTAAATAATGTCTAGAAGTTCAGCCTTGTGTGAGTTTACATGGAACTTTATTTTTAAGTGTCACCCATCATGAAGTTCTGCATGGTCACCACAAGGCTGAGAACATTTCTACTGAAAGAGCTGGGAAGGAATGCAAGATACTACAGAGATATAAACAAAACTTTTGGAGGCCTACTGAGCTGGTTTTTTAAAAATGAAAATGGATTAGAAAACCTCTACAAGAATGCACTAAACTTTATATCATATTGTTCAGGAGACAGAAAACTTCAGGTGTAATTTACTCCTGCTGGTAATTTAATGTTTTTAATAAGCGTCAAAATTCTGTTTTCTTTCCTGAATCCCTAAGGTCCCTGGCATGTAAATTGGAAGCATTTTAACAATAAAAATAAGTATTTCTCTTTATTATCTAAAATAAAGTTTTAAGTAAGAAAATTTTAGATAGAAATGAATTATAAAATTATTTGAAAACAATGAGTTAAAAAAATGTATGTGGTGAAAATGAGTAAGAAAATTATCCCGCGCAATTAGCTTATTTTTTTAAAGGCAACTGTCAGCATGGCATCATATTGCATATATACTTCTAAATATATATTTCTCTGTGTTGCTTTTCTTTTTATAAATGTTCATTCTGAGAGAAGGTTAGACTATATCTTTGCTTTTTATAATCTGTTTTGCAGCTGGGGAGGATCATGCGTGGACCATTTATGAAGTTTGTAGCCCATGCAGCCTCTTTCACCATTTTTCTTGGCCTGCTTGTCATGAATGCAGCTGACAGGTTTGATGGCACCAAACTCCGACCTAATGAAACAACAGGCAATGTAAAACAGCTGTTTAGGATGAAGACATCCTGTTTTTCATGGATGGAGTTGCTCATTATTTCTTGGGTAATAGGTAAAGATTATTTTTCACTTAAATTTATCTTGTCATGTGAAGCTAGACTCCCATTTAATCCATTACAGTGTGATTTGTAAAATGTTTCTTCAACTGGCTGCATTCCCACATGGCTTTGTATTTCTTCATGGGTATCAGCAGGCCTTCAGTGTGCCTAATTAATAAGAAATATTCAGATCAAGGACATAGGTGAAATGCATGACAGATAAATATGAATGAATATGGATTGATGAATATAAAATTAAAATGTCTACAATTTCTTTGTTGGTTTGATCTTGATTCCAAGTGGAAAGATTTCCACATGATAGGTCAAGATTTTTCTTTTGCATCTAAGTTGTCCCTTCCTGTCAAGATCCTCTTGTTTGTCAAATATTTCCTCAGAATTAATAGAATGCAGATAAATGCATTGTTATTTGACAACAGTGAAGCACAATCTATATCTCTGAATATTCAATGTTTAATTTTCTCTCCCAAAACAGACACAAAATGAGTAATGTGAATATTAATTGAGCTGGCCATTCAATTTGCTGAGGCATTATTGTTCCGTCTGAGTAATAACCTGAGCACAGATGCTTCAAAATATTTTAGTTACAGCATTTTCTATTTACTAATTCTAATTCCACTTATTATTAGGCACCTAAATATTTTGGTTATTAGTTAAGTCAGTGATATAGTAGTTTAAAAAAGCAAGATAAAATCTCTCTTCATTCAAGAATTTGAACATATAAACCTTTTGATTTATGGACTTTTCACATATGAAATCTCAGCCATCTGTACATAAACTAATTTGTATAGCTTTAAAAGACATTGACAGGTTTTATTTTATCACTCGTCTGAACATAAATTAATATGGTTGTGTATTATGGGAATAACATAGCAGTTAAAATTCCACATGTTCTATAAATGTAAAGTACTTTATTAATTCGGGAGTCAGCAATGCCCTTTTAACTTGCAAACTTTTACTGCGCTGATTTAATCTATATTTATTTAATACAATGTAGGAATTTTGCATACATAAGCAGGTAGAGATTCTCCCTGCTCTACATAAGCAGGTAGAGATTTTTGAGAAAGTGACTCAATGCATACAAATCTAGCACTGCATTTGAATTGCTGTAGTTAATGTTATAATTGGCTTTACCAGAAAAAGGGCCTCCAGACAATGTCATTAAGTACTGTAAAAGTGTGACATTATTCTAATTTAGAAAATTTTGTATTCAAAAGGAAAATGATTTGCCCAGTAGAAAGGATGCAATAAATAGATATTCTGTATTTGATTATTAATGCAAGAGTGTTAGGAATCAAACAAGTACAACCTTTGCCTTATTGAAGAAGCAATGGGTCTGATTCTTACTTGTGTGCTCATTTATCACATATACTTACAATTTCGGGAAGACAGACTATACCCAGGGTACGCTGCAAATGAGGAAATGTTTGTATTGCTATTTGTTCCACCATGGTTATATGACCATGCCAGAGCATTCTGCTTTTTCAGTCTCTTTTCTGTGTCTGTAATGCATTTGTAATACTGACTTGCCATTTTTCTCTTTGAGTTATACAGACAAAAGTACTATGAGAGATTACTCACATGAGAAAGAGGTGTTGACATGTATATGAATTTGTTGGTCCAAGGACTTTAGTGTGCATTCAAACTCCCACTGTCCAAAATGGTTTTGAATTCGACTGAAACCAAGAGCATATCTTATACCTAAATAAAATTTCAAATAAAATGAATGTAAAGCTAAAACCAATACAACTATCTCTCTTCTGTCTTAAACAGGCATGATATGGTCTGAATGTAAAGAAATTTGGTCTCAAGGTCCAAAGGAATACCTTTTTGAGTTATGGAATATGCTTGATTTTGGTATGTTAGCAATTTTTGCAGCATCATTCATAGCAAGGTTTATGGCATTTTGGCATGCATCCAGAGCCCAGAACTTCGTTGATGCAAATATGAAAGATCTGACAAGTCCCACACTGGAGCCCAACATAAAATACTATACTTTGGGTGAGTTGATTGCACACATTAAAATTTGCTACTTAGACTAAGAAGAATTGATTTTCTGTTAATGTCCCCAACACTTTGGTTCCATAATGCACTGCTTTAGGAAATTCCAACCCCTGTTATTCTTTCTCAACTTTATTGTATGATCACTCTTCACTCTGTGCTTATGCATCTCTCTTGGAAGGCTCTCCTAGAAACCAAAGCACTGAAATAAGCTAGATTAAAATAACCCCATCCTTATCCCCTCCCCCTTTTTTTGAATAATTGAAAGATCTCTTTCATTTAATCAGCCACAAACCTGTCCTGCAACTATTTATGTTGGCACATATTCTAGAGACTGAACTGAGCAATGGACATAGGAAATTAAACTGTCTTTGCCATCAGAACTGATGTATCTTTTAACTAAAATCTTTACTTAGAAGCTCCATTATACTAATTTAATATTTTGCAAAACTATTCTCTTTGCCAGTAGGAGATAAAAATGTTAATAAACTTGCTTGGTGAAAGAAATGAGTAGAAGCTATATATTCCAAATTAGAAAATCCTGAGTGCTGTTTATATGTGCTCACATAGACACATCTCTCTTCCAATAGTTTTCTCTAGACACTGCTTTACATTGATTTATACCAATACCTCAAAAACTATTTCTGAATGTATTCATTATCAAGACTGTAGAAAAATCAGCACAATTAATAAATATTCCAAAGCTCATTAAATTGTAATTTTCTAAATTCTGCTTTCTAAACTAATTTTTCAGATAAAAGTTATAAATAATTTAGTTAAATATAAGTTCAGTTTTAAAATATACCCTCATGAAAAACTTGCAAAAAATGCTGTTATGTTTACAGTTTCTGGTCATGACAAGTACTCATTTTATCTCATTTTTGCAACAAAATATTGTATCATCTAGCAAAATAATTTCTGTTGACATTAGCTGTGAATAGTCACTTTGTTTTGTTGTTAAGCAGAGTTGTCATGTCATATGAGTATTGGTTTGGCAGATGAATTCCTCAAAGAATATAGTTTTCTGTTATATGTAAGCACATTTTGATGCAAGAAAGAATGATAAGAATGTTTGTTGTATGCCAGGAGAAGACTGTAACCATTTCACTGTAAATAAAAGACCGAAAAGATGGAAAAAAAAAGAGAAGCATCATAATTCTCACCATCGTTTGGGTTTGTGAATTGCACTTTTTGATTACAGCTCTCTACATCTAAGCAGTTCATTTTGGATAGCACAAATGAATCACATATACATTTCTAGTTTGCTTTGTTCACTTTTGTTTGCTCGACACTGTAAGCTAAATTTTACTTAAATTGGGTGGAGTTAAACTCCAAAAAGTTACTTTTGTATTTTTCCATGCTAATTTAGTTCTTTGGATTCCCTGTGTAATATGTGGAGATCTAATCAATACAGTCAGTGGAGCTGTGAAGAGGATTTAGATCTGCCGTTGTACAGTTCAGTTGGCCAAAGATAAGCAACAAGTGCTATTTGAGGAGCCAGAGGACTTCTACCTGTCCTACAGCTGCTTCTCCAAAGAGACCTCTCATAGATCTAAACCTGTTCTACTATCTCAGATATCCTAGGCATCTCTCCTCTCTCTCTCTTTCTCTCTGTCTGCCTTTCTCTCTCATCCCTTTCTTTCCCTCATTTCTCATCAGTAGACACAATAGTATCTCGCTTCAGTGTCAATTTTATCAAATTCTCTTCCTTTCTCTCACTTTATTTCTGACACCACCTTCATATAAGATAATTGCTGAGCACTGTGAAGTAGTCACTACTGACACTATTTGACCACTCATACTTGGCTCATGGAAGTCCAAGGGATTCAAGTAATAGGGATCCAAGTAGTCACAACTCTTAGTCATCTCTTTCAAAGGAGAAAATAGATTTTGTGTGTTTCTTAATTTCCAAAGGCTAAAGCTTACCTACTCCTGACTTTTAGACAGCGAAGTCTCATAATTTGTCTTCATGTCAAAATACATAATGCAAATTATGGTAAAGAAAAAAAAGCTGTGAACATAGTACTTCAACATTTCAAGTTTTCATACCTCCATTGCCTTCAGCTCCAACTGACTATGTTTTATTCTTTTGTTACTTAAAAGGAATGCTTAGTTGAGCAACCTAAGGCGAGCATGAAAATCTGACAGAAATTCTCATCTTTTGTTTCTAGCCAGAATAAACTGGGATCCGTCTGATCCTCAGATCATATCTGAAGGCCTGTATGCAATTGCAGTAGTATTAAGTTTCTCCAGAATAGCCTACATTCTGCCAGCTAATGAAAGCTTTGGACCCCTGCAAATATCACTTGGCAGAACTGTGAAAGACATCTTCAAGTTCATGGTGATATTTATCATGGTGTTTGTGGCTTTCATGATAGGGATGTTTAATCTCTATTCTTACTATCTGGGAGCAAAAAAAAATGAAGCCTTCACAACGTAAGTACAACTGCAATGATCATGGGCTACCTTTATGGAAAGCCAGTTACTTCTGTTGTATATATTCCTTTTACTAATTGTTATATAGATTTGCATCTTTTAGAAAGAGATTTTATATCAGATCAAGTGGTAATTGTCTCTCATGTTCAGATGCTCATATGATATGTTTGTAGTCAGAAAATGAGCTCTTGATCCCAGCAACACTGATAAATAAAAAAGGACAGGCTGGGAAGCCAAGGACATTTTGCCTTTTATATGAGAGAGCAGCAGGAATGCTCTGCCTTAGGAGGGGGAATGAAACAGTTGAGAGCTTATGGGTCGGGACTTATGGGCAGATCAAGGTGAGTGATGTTGTGATGGGTATCTACTACAGACCATTTGATCAGAAAAAAAAAAAAAAGTAGATGAGGCCTTCTTCAGTCAACTGGAAGAAGCCTCACAGTCACAGGCCTTGATCATCATAGGAGATGTTAAAAAAAATCAATATTTTTGGAGGGCAGCATGGCAGGGCACAAGAAACCTAGGAGATTACTGGAGTGCGTAACTTCCAGACATAGCTGACTGAGAACAGCTCACTGACGATGGGAGACACTTTGGTGGACACTTTGATACCCCAGAGGGCTGCGCTGCCATCCAGAGAGACCTGGACAGACCGGACAACTGGGTGGTGAAAAACCTCATGAAATTCAACAAGGCCAAGTGCAAGGTCATGCACCAGAGGAGGAATAACCCCAGACACCAGTACAGGCTGGGGACCGACCTTCTGGAGAGCAGCTCTGCAGAGAAAGACCTGGGTGTCATGGTGGATGACAAGTTGACCATGAGGCAGCAGTGTGCCCTCGTGGCCAAGAAGGCAAATGGGATCCTGGGGTGCGTTAAGAAGAGTGTCTCCAGCAGGTCGAGGGAGGTGAGGCCACATCTGGCCAGTTCCAGTTCTGGGCTCCACAGTACAAGAGGGATGTGGAGCTGCTGGAGAGATTCCAGCGCAGGGCTACAAGGGTGATCAGGGGCCTGGAACATCCGCCCTAGGAAGGGAGGCCGAGGGAGCTGGGCCTGTTCGGCCTGGAGAAGAGAAGGCTGAGAGGAGATCTAATCAGTGTCTATAAGTACCTCAAGGGAGGCAGTGAGGAGGATGGTGCTGGCCTCTTTTCAGTGGTGGCCACCGACAGAACTAGAGGAAATGGCTGGGAACTGAAGCATCAAAAGTTCCACAGGAACTTAAGGAAAAATTTCTTACCAGTGAGGGTGACAGAGCACTAGAACAGGCTGCCCAGAGAGGTTGTGGAGTCTCCTTCTCTGGAGAGAGATCTTCAAAACCTGCTTGGATGCAGTCCTGTGCCACTATGTGACCCTGTGTGTGGGGGAGTGTTGAACTAGATGACCTCTAGAGGCCCCTTCCAACCTTAAGCATTCTATGATTCTATGATTCTATGACATTTACAAAGAACTAGTTGGGTATGTGAAGGTTGGGGGCAGCCTTGGCTGCCATGACCATGATATGGTGATGTCCAGGATACTGAGAGAAGAGAGCAAAGCAAATACCAGGATCACAAGCCTGAACTTCAGGACAACAGACCTTTACTTGTTCAGGGACCTATTTGGAGGAAGCCCATGACATATGAATCTACCTGGGGGAAATGAGGTCCAGAAGAGCCAATTGATTTTCAGGGATCACCTCCTCTGAGCTCAAGTTTGGTCTATCGTGACTTGCAGGAAATCAAGTGAAGGTGGCAGAAGATCTCCATGGATAGGCTTGAAACTCCCAACTAAACTTAAGGATAGTAAGGAAGCATACGAAAGGTGGAAGCAGGGACAGGTGACCCGGGAGGGATGCAGAAACATTTTCCAAGGATGAAGGGACAGGGTTAGGAAAATCACAGCCAAAATTTCATGTTTTTGTTTTTGTGAAAAATCTGGTGTGGGATGAGAAAACCAGTGAGATTCTTAAGACCAGTGAGATTCTTGAGACCCAAGTCTCAGTGTTATATTTATAGGCTATGCTTCTTTTAGGCAGCCTTTTTTTATACAACTCCTGAAAGATAACATTGTCTATTTTCAATTGTTTGTACAGCAGAAGCTCATAAAAGAGATGAAATTAACTAATATATTTGCTCTGCAGAATATCGCTGTGATAGTATTCAAAGTTATGAGAAAATAAAATTTGCATATTATATAAAAATGGTAACTGGCAATTTATACAGTAATAATATACAACATATTGTTCAGTAACATATGCATATTTTCAATTTCTCCATTTAGTGTTGAAGAAAGTTTCAAGACATTGTTCTGGGCTATATTTGGACTCTCAGAAGTTAAATCAGTTGTCATCAATTATAAACACAAATTTATTGAAAATATCGGTTATGTCCTTTATGGAGTCTATAATGTTACCATGGTCATCGTCTTACTGAACATGCTCATCGCAATGATCAACAGTTCATTTCAGGAAATTGAGGTAAAAATTCCATTTGTAGTGATATAACACTGTACTTTACTATATGGAACTATCACTAAGCTCTGGAATAGTCAAGTAAATGGGAATTTAGCTTCACATGCTTGCAATAGTGAGAACTAAACTGGACTGAGAGATTACTGTGGAACTATATTATGTTCCCGGCAGGGATGTGCTGTATTACATGACTTTGTGAATCTTTCCTATGCCTCATTTGTAGTTATTATTTGAGAAGTGTCTCTCTTGCTGCAAGGATGTTCTTATTCTTCTGTTTTGACCTTGTACAGAAATCTTCAACAGTCTGTTTTTTTTTTTTTCCGTCTAAGCAAGCATTTCCCTGTTCCTCTGAAGTGAATAAAAGTTTATTATCTGGCAAAGTAATCAGTATAAACATTTACATGCAATGGGAAAAAAAAAAGAAGGGGACTAAATCATTTTTTAGAGATCTCCAGAACCTCAGGCCATCCCAACCTCTCCTAGGGCATATCCTTGCCACACCACAGCAAAATCAGGTTTCTGGTTGTGTGGCACTGTTCTGGTCCCAGATTCAGGGCTCAGGTTTGGGACCGCAATGGCATCCAGCTTAAGCAAGAGCAGCTCATTCTCCAGGGAGGCTGGGATTCTTCTGACCAAAGAGGCCATAAGAAAAAAAAAATCAGGTTCAGAGCTCTGTAAAAACAGACTATAAGCCCCCCCCACAAATAAATAAAATAAAATAAAATAAAATAAAATAAAATAAAATAAAATAAAATAAAATAAGTGACTGTATACATCTTCTAAAAATAGTTACAGTAATGTTGAGTCATGTCCCTGAGCATGAACCCAAACCTTTCTGCAAAAAAAAACCCTTGAGCTTTACAGGAAGGAATAAAATCAGTGTTTTGGTCATTGTAAATGGTCAAGATAAAATACGATGATGACAGTAAGCCTGGTTTAATATTTCAACAAGTGAAACAAATTATGTAAAATCATCAGACTGTCTTCTTTTTTAATTTCAAAAATATTTAAAATATTATGTTAATGGAGAATTGTTTCATATTCTTTACTGAACCAGACAGCTTTCAAGCAAGTAACTTGACAAAAAAGTGCTAGGGGATGAATTTGTGGGTTGCCATCAAGCTTTAAATCTAACCTTTATGCTAGAGCCTTAGTTCTTACTATTCTGTCTACAAACAGCAGCAAATAAAAAGTCTGCCTTTTTTGATCCTATACTGCAGATTAATAACTTAACTCCAGAGTAAGTGATGCTTAATTCAAATCCACTTATTTCTATTCTAACTAACTGCAATACTTTATATGGGTTAATTTCTATGGGATTCCGTATGGGTTCCACTCACTGAAGTTTGGTTTTCCGTGAGTATAAACAACCTCTTGATCTCTTTAAAATTAATCACTTCCCTTCCAAAACACTCAAAACTTACCTGCAGCTTCTTCAGGAGTCAAGATGGTATTAACATTGTATTAATATCAATGTTTTGGTTTTACAGGATGATGCTGATGTAGAGTGGAAATTTGCAAGGGCTAAACTTTGGTTTTCTTACTTCGAAGAAGGGAGAACTCTTCCAGTACCCTTCAACTTAGTGCCCAGCCCGAAGTCTTTGCTTTATCTCTTACTGAGAATCAAAAAATGGATCTGTAAACCATTTCTGTGCCAAAAGAAAAGTTTTCAGGAAGACGCAGAGATGAACAAGGTAAGTTTATCATATGTATGTTATTTCTAATAAAGCAAAGGCAATTTTCATTTTTCTTTGTTGATGTTTTTCTGGTGAATTTCCCATCTTCTTAGTCCAAGTGACACTTCTGAAGTCAGTGGAAAGTCAGTGGAAACAGACTGAATTCTTACTTTGTTTTTTAATGTAAACACTTTTTTCACATTTAAAACCACTTAAATTCAAAAATATTGTACTAAATTTAGAGTTTTTCCTGCTTCTTATCACTTTAGTGAGCTCTAGTCTAACCTCCTCCTCACAGTACAGTCAGCTGTGAAGTCTGACCAAGGTATTCAGGGATTTTTCCAGTTCAGTCTTGAAAACCTCCAAGGGCAGAGATTGCACAACTTTTCTTGGCAAGTTTTGCCATTGCTGGACTGTCCTCACAGAGAAAACTTTTTTCCTTATATCCAATCTCAAATTCTTCTACTTCAGCTTATGCCTGACATCTCTTGTCTCCCTACCGTGCACTGCTGTGAAGAGCCTCTGTCTCTCTCCTTGATGACCTACTGTCAGGTGTCCTCAAAGCTGTCTCTGCTCCAGGTTGAACAAGCCCAACTCCCCCAGCCTCCTCTTACACGGAAAGCATTCCAACCCCAGACATTTTGGCAGCCCCAGACATTTGGCAGTTTGGCACAGAACTCACGGCAATTTCTCAATGTCTTTCTTGCTCTCCATCAGTCCGCCCAGAGACCTTTCCACAGTGCACCCCATCCAGGAAGTCCCCAGCCAGTGTTGTTGCAAGTGATTCTTCCCCAGGAGGGAAGAACTTTGCAGGACTTTGCATTGGTCTTTGTTGAATTTCATGAGGCTCCTTTCAGTCCCATTCTCCAGTCTGCACTGGAGTCCTGCCCTTGAGCCTCTCGAGCGGTCACCTGCCAGTTTGGTCTTGTCCCCAAACTTGATGGGAATGTGCTCGGACACCTCAGCTATCATCGATCCATCATTTCCCAGCTGTTGGGAATATCTCCCAGTTTCTGTGATCATTCAAAGATGATAGAGAGCAATCTTGAAAGGACATTAGCCTGCCCTCTCAGCACCCTTAGATGTAGGCCCATTGATTCCCTTGGATTTGCATGAGTTAGATTCTCTGAAGCAATCCTTCACTCTACCCTGATCCACTGCTAGTCATTCTCCTCTTCCTTGAGTCCTTTCACCAAGCACAAAGGCCTAGACTTTGTTGCTGAAGACTGAAGCAGAGAAGGCACTGAGTACTTCAGCTGTACCTGTTCCCTGTCACTGTATTGCCCTCCCTGTTCAGCAATTGGCTCTCATTTCCCTTGTTCAGCCATTTACTGCTAATGTAACAGTAGAGGTTCTTGTTGCCCTCATCTCTCTCGTAAATGTCATTTTTAGGAGAGTTTTGGCTTTGCTAACATCATCCTTACATTCCTGGACAATGTCTCTAAATTCCCCCTTTGTAAGTTAACTCTGCTTCCACCAAGAATGCAGCATTCTGTAATCTGTTTTATTTACTTGACAAGTACAGTAAAATGCACTTGATTGGACTCATTACTGTATCTAGTAGGATTATGTAAAGAGTTTATAGTCAATGCCTTTTCCTTGCAATGTATTGATATAAATTTATGAGAACATAGGGCACAACACATCTCATTAGGTGATATTAGAAGTGTACAGACTGGCATTATAAGACATAAAGAATGTAAACAAGTTGACAAATGAGCATGTGGCAACATAACATTTGCAAGAAAAAAAAAAAGATGGGTTTGTAAAAAAAAATACAGGTGGCAGAATCAAATGTGTCTGGATTTTTTTGAGTGGATAATTGTTAAAATAGTCAGTAGACTAATCCTTGTGTCTGTCATTTGCTCGATCAAATGACAGGCAGTAACATAATTAGCTGTGTCAGCACTTTGTTACAATTGTGATGGGCAGCTTTTCCATGACAGATATAATCAAGATTGTGTCTTCTCTGCCATATCTCCTCTGTTTAGCTCTCTCCCTTCCATTGTCACTGCTCTTTTTATTCCTGCACAGTTTTTTTCTACATTCCGGCTCTTTGACCTTCCTGTTCCTCACTCATATATTTATATTACTAGTTGAAGACTGAAAAAGAAGGAAAATAGTTTTAAGCATGGAAGAAAAAAAGATCAAACTATATGGAGAAACACTAAAATCTGTGCCCGTTGCAAGGTTCTGCTTTTGGCTAAACACATAATAGATTATAAAAACAAACATAGACACTACAAATGCTAGCACTAAAATAAAACTTTTTATTGACCTCAGATGTTCTGAGTACGCTACTGTTAATTTTTCTAGCATTTCACAGATCTTCATTTTATTTGAGGGATCCTATCCTAGCCTAATAATGCAGTTGATACCTATCAGAGGTGATATGGCATTTGCTCTAGTTTTTAATGAATCCAACATTTACAAAACATTTTTAAAGTTGCTTGATGTAAATTGGTTGACAAGGTTGTCAAAGAAACTATTCGAAGTTTCATTCTAAATGGAAAAATAGTCTTGTGAAGGAGAAGGTTTTTGGCTTGAGAGTTGCAGAACTTGTTCATCTTCCTGAGCTAAAAACCTACAGTGGCAAATATCCTGTAGAAGCCATTTTCTTGAAACACAGCTCTTCAGAAAGCAATTAATTATTAAAAAAAATACCGCTCAAAACAACTACTCTAACCCCTCACTGAAAGGGATTTTTACTTGCCTAATATACAGCACAGTTGCTGAAATTCTCACAAGTGAACTCGGGTTCTGGGAGTTCAAAGTGAGTCATTTTCTGGGAATCCAACACATCTTGTCCAAATCCACACAATTTACTGGCATTCCAAGTCATCAGCTTCTTGCCACGATTGGATTTAAAACGTTAATGCAATGCAACACAAAACAGTTACTGTAATTACAGATGACTGTATTTAATTGATTTTCTAGTCATGGTAGAGAAGCAAGTTAAAACAAGAATGTGTTTTTCCCAAGAACAATGTTCAATGTGTACTGCATTTCTCCTTACAGTACTCCTGGAGGTTTATTTTGTTAGGTATTATATCACTGTAGTATTTAAATTGCCTTCTCTCACCCTTCTTCCCCCATAATTTCTTATGTGCTGATTTTCTATAAATATTAATTTAAAAATATGTGCGCCAACTCAGCCATTAATATGTCAAACTTCATTTACTACTGTAGTAGTTTTACGGAGAGGAAAAGCCATAGGCAAGAAGCTTAAAGACACTTTACAAATTTTGTATAGAAACAAAGTTATAACAAAATCTTGGCAATCTCTGCCACCAAGTGGTCAATCAGTACAGCCCATGATATGACGGGATAAATATTAATCACGTAATAATGTCTTCAGTCATTATTTTTACATATTGCAAATAAGTGTAATATAAATAGATAACTAATGTTTTTAAAAGTATGTTTTTATAAAAGTAGTCCATCTTTCCTAATGAATAAGGAATCACTAAATTCTGTGTAAATTTTACATTGAATGCAATTCAGTATATTTCACCAATAAGAACCACCAATAAAAATATTTTCTTCAGGAAATACAATCAAAGTACAAATACTAAACAGAATTGAAAAAAAAACTTAAATAGCTCCCTATTTGCAGATTTGTGAAGACTATTTATTGCAAAATAGTGCACTGCAAAAATGAGCATAAAATAAATGGAAATCCAGAAAACTGGAAAACTTCTAATGAGGACTCTCTGCAGGGCCTAGGAGAATGGAGAGTTTTAATTCTGGCCTTTTTGCTGATTAAGTGACCTCATCTGTTGGCTCATTCAGCAGTTTTGTACCTACAACTTACGACACCCAAAGCTGCATTTCTGGCTTTGGTTTGTGTTAATAAATTTAATGGAAATTAGAACAGAGCTCTAATAAGGCCCTCTGCTGAGACATTTATTTTTATCATTTTCCACCTAACATGAGGTGTATATTTATCACATATTCTGTATTCCTATTTCTGTTTATTCTACAATCTTAGCCACAGGCAAACTTCCATATGCATCAGGAGTCGATCGTGACTGGAGTCACAGGAGGAACAGACACAGGGAATCTGCAGCCTTCACTGGGAGCAGGCATTGAGTGCGAGCTACTGCATCGTGCCACGGCTGTGCAGCCGCACATGCACCCTATCCTAATCCTGCTTTCTTCACCACCCAACCATATGCCACTAGCGTGTCCCTGCTGTGATGCACTAAGAGCCCAGGTGCTCCAGTATGCTTAGCTCTAAGTGCTCAATATAGTAAAACACAAAGATGAGCAATATAAAACTCAATGAAAACACAAGATGATCCCACAGGATCTGAGGCACCAGACTCATAGTTCTTTAAAAAAGAAAAAAGAGAGAAGAAAAAAGTAACAATTTTATTGTGCCATGTGCAATTGCAAAGAAATGACTTTTTGATGGCAGTCTCACTTATCCCTCATCCAGATCATTCATGATTTATATTTCACTTTCTTTTTCTCCCTGTTAGCACAATTCATTGTATTGGCCTCATATCAATCAATTAATATGATCCATTTCATCTTGACAATGCTCTTTACTCTTATTGCAGTCAAACTGTTTCAGCTGAGTCTCAGTTCATCATTCTGTGATGTCCTTCTCAAAGCCATTAATCAGTAATGACTCCTAACGAATACACACACTGTGCTCCTTCTTGGAGCGAGTTGAAGTGATATCTCTTTCTTTCAGCACAGGTAGTAAAGAAAATGCTGTTCAAAAGTATTCGCTGATGATTTGGTGGTTGTTAACATGAACTGCACCAACCTTAAGTCATTGATGCAAGTGAGGGGAAAAGCAAGCTCAAGTATTTTGTGGTAGAGGAGGCAACCTTCGTTACAAGCAGGAGCTAAGAAAGAAGGAAATGTGGCAATTTTGCCACCTCTCCTTCCTTTCCTTGGTTTCTCACATTCCCTGTGCTCCTACAGCAGCAGAACTGGAAGAACATGGCATGTGCTGGCATAGACTCCAGGTGAGGTAGGGCTCCCTCCTACTCCTCTGTGCATGGACACAGGCAGCAGTGAGTTAAGTTAATGTTCTATCATATTTGAAATATTTGCATGAGGTAATTTAAATGTATAATTCTTGTGTTTATTTATTTTTATAAGTAATGTTTCTGTTTCAGCTTGATCAAAGGAAGCAGTCAAGTGTAAGAAGCTCAGATGAAATACACTTAAACAGTTTGAACAATCCTCCAAGACAGTACCAGGTAAAACACAACTTCTGTTTAAACAAAATAAAGAAATAATACAGCTGATGGGTAAGACTGACAGCATGAGGAGTGTTTTGAATTTATTTTAGACAATATAAATAGAATTGAATTAGTGAATTAGCTAAAGCAGCTTAGCTTCATGAGGCACATTTCTATACTCCAATACCCCAAAATTACAGCTAACTTGCAGCCCAGTTTCTCTGTGGTCCTTTGTGGTACAGGATATATTTTTATTCTTTGACTCACAGATGACTGCAGAGTGCTTTTGCACAGAAATGTGTGAAGGCATTGAGAGATCCAGCACAACTACCCTGGTCAAGAGATTAGTTCTTTCCTTGCTCTCACAGTGCTACAAAGCAGATGGGAAGGAACAAGCAAGAGCTGCTTGGTCAATAGGAAAAGTGCAGGGTCCTGCACCTGGACAGGAATAACCCCAGGCACCAGGACAGATTAGGGGTTGATCTGCTGGAAAGCAGCCCTGTGGAGAGGAATTTGGGAGTCCTGGTTGACAACAAGTTAACCATGAGGCAGCAATGTGCCTTCGTGGCCAAGAAGGCCAATGGGATCCTGACCTGCATCAGGAGGAGTGTTGCCAGCAGGTCAAGGGAGGTGATCCTTCCCCTCTACTGAGCTATGGTGAGGCCGCACCTGGAGTATTGTATCTAGTTCTAGGGCTCCCCAGGACAAGAAGGACATTGAGCTTCTAGAGAGGGTCCAGCAGAGAGTCGTGAATATGATTAAGGGACTGGAGCATTTGTCGTATGAGGAAAGACTAAGCGAGCTGGGCCTGTTTAGTCTGGAGAAAAGAAGGCTGAGAGGGGATTTGATCAGCATGTTCAAGTACCTGAGGGGTGATGGGGCCAGGCTCCTCTCTGTGGTGGCCGGTGACAGGATGAGGGGTAACGGGTGTAAAAGTTGAAACGCAGGAAGTTCCATCTCCATGTGAGGAAGAACTTCTTGACTGTGAGGGTGACAGAGCCCTGGAACAGACTGCCCAGAGAGGTTGTGGAGTCTCCTTCTCTGGAGATCTTCCAGACTTGCCTGGATGTCACCCTGTGCCTGGTGCTGTAGGTGTTCCTGCCTGAGCAGGGGGTTTGGCCTAGATGATCTCTAGAGGTCCCTTCCAACCCTAAGCATTCTGTGGTTCTGTGATTCTGTAATAGAACAGGGCCATCTGAATCCTGCAAAAGGATATGAAAGAAATCCTGGAACTAAGTGTCAATGTCTTCGTTAACCATAGGATAAAAAAAGTGTGCCTTCTTAGGCAGGATAACTCTGCATCGCTCTAAATGTTATGCAGTGTGTGTACAGGTCTATTCTGTTTTTTTTTTATAGCCAATTACGTTATGTTGTAGTGATAGATACTAAGATTACAAAACTATCCTATAAACGTGAGGATGTGTGGCTTTGTATTTGAAACACTGTCATATTATTAGTCTAAACAGTACAGCTATTGACCTTGCAATCATGACAGTAATGATGCTCTGGAAACACTAATCTAAGATGATTCACCTCACAGGGACCTCTGGTCAAGCCTATTACTGCACAGACAAAGGCAGACACATAAACCTATGCATATTTGCTGTCTTGCAATGAAAACCAAAAAATATTGTGTTGTCATGGGTTACACCGTATGAAATTGTTAAAACCAGAGATAGATCCTCAAAGGTGACTATTTTGTTCTTTGTTGAAGCAATTTGAGCTAATGGCAGAATTAGGGGTAGGATTCAACTCCCTTAGAAAAGTAAAAATTTACAATTGAGCTGATTGGCCTAGGTCCCCTTAGAGAAGGGGTATTGCGGTTTGAAGGTGGGGGACAAATTTGGCGAGAGATGAATCCCTTTGCGTTCCAGACAGTCCTCAAAGGTTAGAAGGACTGGGGGTGGCTGGACTCGTCTCTTAATAGAGATACCAAATACCATGGTAACTATAGGTCTGACTCTGACAGTACCAGATTCACAGTCTGTCAACTGTAGGTCCAGTTGCCTTCAAAACAAGTAGTCAAGTTCACGAATAACACGATTTATTCAAATGCAACATTTAGAGAACAGGTTTCGGATATGGGTACAGGAAATTTTCTGCTGCAGTGTGGGGTTCTTAGCTAGTGCCTAGTGTACAAATGCGCAATCGTCACTCACCCCAGAAGATGGAAGATGGCTCTCAATCTTGAGGAGTCTCCTCAGGCAATGTCCTGACCCAAGGAGAGGAAAGGGCTTCAGCCCATCATGTAATGCAGAAGTTACGATGGAGTCTTCCCTCTCTACTCTTCCTTCTACTCTCTTCCTTCTTCCTCTGCCTTCCTCTTCAGTTCCTACTATAGTCCTCCTTAATTCACCTTTTATATATTTTCTTTTAGGTGGAGTTCAAGTGACTCTAGTCATACTTACTTTTGTTATTGATTGGTTTAAAAAGTCTCCTGAGTTAATCGAGAATCTAGAGAGTCTGCTCAGTGAGGAGGGGTTGTTCCTTAGAAGCGGGTAACTTTGGGGATGGGGTTGTGTATTGGTATTATAATGAGATTAGGATGAGGAGAAGATTGAGCAAAGTCCATCAGAAGGGATCTGCCGCCTGCCCCATTGTTGGCCCAGCACTGGACATCTTATTGTACTAAGCGGCTTATCAGCTGCGTGATACGATCAGGTTGGCCCTCTGCAGGGAGTACATCAGAGTTTGGCCACGGTGTCTTCACTCCGCTCCATCCTCCATTCACTCATCAGCTGCACAGCACAATCAGGTTACTACGTCTGCAGGGAATCCAACAGTTAGGCCATTGTGTCTCCATTCTGCTCCACTCTTGGTTTACTCTTATTAATGTGTGCTAGGAGGCCAGATTGTGTTGCCAAGGTAATTGGGGAGAGGTAGATTTCACACATACATACTAACCATCCTGGAAGTGGTCTCTCACCATAAGCAAGCCTCTGTAATGCCAGAACTTCTGTTAGGTCCCAGTTTTTCTCTAATTTCCCCTTTCTCGAGTAATTCTCTCACAAGGGGGAACATTGAAATAATGTGATTTATTTGATCAGTTTTAGTGGAGATGGACTGTGCTTACAAGTGTCCATAGAGTTTAAAGTAATTGCCACTTATATGGACATTTACATTATAAAGTATCTATTTTTTGTCAGGTGAGTCCCAGCTGAGGTGCCCAAATGATTCTGAGAATGTGGGTCCTGTTTCTCTAAGCCTCATGTCAGGAAAAAAATGACTTATTGGTTAAATTAAAATAAATTTTGCAAAAAGATTTCTTAATTAGCACTGCCGATTAGGGTCATTGTTGTCTTCTGACAGCAGTAAAGACTGTATATTTTCACCTGCATGGAGATCCAACCTCCAACTGAAATTAATCGTTCTCATGGATTCCAGTAATGGTATAAATTAAGGTTATGAATAGTAAGATGTGTTTAGTTTTCTAGCTTCATATACGTTTGTATATTTTGGATAATAAAGTTTAAATATCTAATGTGGATGAAAGTAGAGATTTTTATGAAATATTCCTATACCTGGGCAAAAGCGAGCGTGAAATATCTGTAGGAGTAGATTGCGTAGCCATTACATTGAAATTTCGTAGCAATATTAGAAAGTCCCGCTATTAAAACTTCTTTTTTTCTTTTCCACAGAAAATAATGAAGCGTCTCATTAAACGATATGTACTGAAAGCTCAGATAGATAAAGAAAGTGATGAAGTCAATGAAGGTGAGTTTGTTGATGATTGCATGCTTTTAATCAAGAATCAAAACAAACTTCTTAAAATGGTTACATATGCCGCCTGAAAACATACTTTCAAAATACTCAGTCATAAATATACTTGACTTGCAAGTGCAAGGTGTGAAATTAATGTGAAATTGAAATTAAAGTAGAAATGTGACTATGGATCTCTGCTGCTCTAGCCAGCTGAGTGCTCACATGTCAATAGTGTTGCCTCTTCAAGTGTGGCTGCCTTTAGTACAGTTTTTCTGGCTTTTGAAGGCTTTCTGGTGACACTCCCAAATGAATTCTCCCTTGTGTGGTCATATGTGCTTATAAAGAAAGCATTCATATAGTTCAGCCTTCTTTTTGGTGTGGTTTATGAGCTGGAAATGCAGAAGTGGCATCATTCCCAAGGGAATGCACTTCGCAGAAATGTTCACTTGTTTTTGCCTCCCTCCGATGATGGAGAAATACCGAATGCAGCAGGAAAAGCAGAGGCAAATTCTCTTCCTGACAGCATGAGCCTGGTCTTTCTTGACCATGGGCTCTTGCGTGCCAGCTGCTCACCCTCTTGGCAAGGGTGAACCCTCACCCTCAGCTAGGTGAACTGGTGCGATCTCCCTGCTTCAGACAAGCCTTCAAACTTGTCTATGTCCTGTACTGCATCTTCACGGTTCAATCAATCAACCGCCATTCACCAACAGGCCACAAAACATCTTACTTTTTCTGGTTCAGCAAAGAAATACAGAAATAATATTATGCTTTGGTAAGTGTGAGACTGGGTATGCTATTTTTTTTTCCCTTCATCCCTTAACAGTGTGACCTCATTTCTCCTACAGGTGAACTGAAGGAAATTAAACAGGACATCTCAAGTCTCCGTTACGAACTCCTGGAGGAAAAAACTCAAAATTCAGAGGACCTGGCAGAGCTAATAAGGAAGCTTGGGGAAAAATTGTCAATTGACCCAAAGGAAGAAGATAGCAAGAGATAGCCTAAATATTTCAGAAATACAACAAAATCTTAACAATTCACTTAAAGCCATATTTATGTTTTTCTCAAGTCTAGTTCACATTGCCAGAACAGAAATTAAATCATTTCAGCTCTTTATGGAGAAAAAAAAAACACAGTGGCAAATCCATTGTGTCTGTGATAAATATCACTTGAGTGAAGGTATTTATTTATTCTCTACCTGCTGAAGAAGAGTTAATTTTAGCTCATTTTAATATTCAGCTTACCTCTTTTAAAATGCCATAGAATCTTGATAAACCCAGTCACGAAACATAAAAACATAAAGCTAAACCTTTCCTACATTAAACAATTTGCAAATTTCCATTTTGTAGACATTAATGTGTATAGGTTAACAAAGCAAAAGAGGAAAATTCCAGGCTTCTAGATATTTGTATAAGAATCTATTTTGTTTTTCAAAAGAAATCATTCCCAATGAGAAAAAAAAAATCAGCCTTTCTTAAAATCTGCAGGATTTGGAAGTAACTTATTTGAATGTTTCCTTGAAGAGATCAGTAGTTTAATACTCAAAGCACTGTGTTATACTATTCCCTATTTAAATCTCTATTACTGCTCAATTGTCCTGTGAGACACCTGAGTTCTAATGGGAGGTAGTGCATTAAAAGAGAAATATTTTTCACAAGTTTATTGAAAAGCTATTTCTGAGGCCTGAAAAAAACACTCTTTTAATCCAGATATACTTTATCCTTGAAGATCTCATCTCCTCAAGAATTCCAAACTTCTCCAGCTTTTGCATTGTGATTTAAAACCCCTCAAAGTGCAGGAAGATCTGGAGGTAAATATTTTAACATGTGTATTGAAGTGGGATGAAACTAAACCATGAGATGTAAACATTTACTCTGAATTCAAGGAAAATTGTGCATTTGGCATAATGATTTTCACAGTTAAAGTTGTTTTAATAGTTGAAATTTGTTCAAATTTGTCCTTATGAAAAGAAAACAGGTTGTTCCAGTGGGATTATTGTAGATAATCTGTGGAATTTCATTCCTTGACATTTTTTTTCTTTTTTTTTCTAGATATCTCAATTCCTCTGTTGCGTTTCTTACCACATATTATTTTAGGGTTCTCTACTCTTCTTTAAATTTGGTTAAAATTAGTGAAAGGGCTCTAATGTTTTTTAACAACTTAAAGATGTATAACACATCTGTAAAGGCTCAGATGTTTAGGAAACAAGGCTAAAAATGGCTTGTCAATAATCGCTTTTAAATTAGCTTTGTGAAACTTATTTATTGTGGAATGTATCAAAATGTTTCCACCTCTCCCTTTCAGACTTGAGGTGTAAAAAGATTATTTTAAAAGTGTTTAGGTTAGTTTCTAGCTGAATTAACTGATAATCCTTTTTAAAAATTGTTGGTGATGTCATTATGTATATTCAGGGGAAAAAAAAAACTGTGTTAAAAATGTCTTTAAAACAGGTAACATATAAACACACAGAGGAGAGGAGTTCTGTCCTGCCTCGAGTGCAGTGAAAGTTATTATGGAGATCAGCCTTCCCAGAGGATATTTATCACGATTCTGGGGAACTTTTTAGCCTTACACTTAGCCTATTAGTTTACCACTAGTGGAGCATGTGGGACAATCTGTGTACTGTTGGCCTCAGGCATAATGAACTCAGGGTTTAGAAACTTTTAAGGACTCTTCCTCTGAAAGAGGAGAAAAAAAATGAAATTTTCAAAGGTACTAGAACAGTGTCTATTAAAAACCACAGGGTGTTGAGCTGGAAAAGTATGGGCTACAGAATAGCCAATTTAACTTGCCTTTGATTATTAAAAAGCATTACCTCATAATCTGCAGTGTTTCCTATAATGATCAACAGGGAGTACTGTAGACTCTGAGATGACCTTATTGGTTGGTCTTAGCAGAAAGCAGAAATGCCCCACTTTTGGTCTCAGACATGGTGTAGCAGTTAGAGGTTATCTCACTTTGCAAGTCAAAGTGAAGCCAGCTCTTTTCAAGTTCCTGCCTATATTTCTAGGCTGAAATTGGCCAATGATTTTTGAGTTACCACCTGAAATATTTTGGCCCTAGCTTTCTAAAACAGTGAGCACTTACAGCTTCAGTGAATGTCCACATGAGAGATCATATTGCTAAATGTAGATTTTCCACTGCTAACAAACTCTTTTGAAAATCTGTTGGCCAGAACTTAAAGGTAAAAATTGTAGTCAAAGCTCATTTTCAGAAGGAGAAAGTCTTTTTTTTTGGTCATTATAATGTGTGATCTGGATACACAATCTAGTGCTAGATCATAGTAAAAGATCTCCATAAACCTAATATGAGCCAATGGCACTCAAGAACAGTAAACACAGTTTAAGGTCGAGGCACTTTTAAAGTTAAGATTTTTATTACAGAGGCAAAACAGACACTGTGAATTTGTTTAAGCCCAAGTTCTGACTTACCTTAAAACTATGAGATCGTAATGTATATATTGTATTTCATGAAGATAAAACATAAGAATTTTTTAATTCGATGAAGATATTTTGTATGTAGTTATTACTATGGAACAATTTGTTAAATATATTTGAAGAGGTCTAATGCCAAATGTAGTGTGACAAACAATGTAGTATTTAAATGAGCACTATACCAAATATATTATTCTGATAAAAATTAAATGTATGAGACTCAGAATACCGTGTAATGCGTTGTGTGAATATGCTGGTCCTTCACTCCTGGGAAACTTTGTCAACTCTTGCTTGAAAGGGAACAGTAAGATGAATATGGCTAATTGTTTCAACTTTCTAGTCACTTCTCTAGTCTTTTCTCACTGTGTGCTGCAATGAAATAAGGCCTCGTTATTGGGATGAGGCCTATGTCTGCGAGGACAGCGGATGTCATACAACGATACTACAATGCAAGCTTAAGGTTGTCAAGACTTACAGAAACAGGTCCTGAGTAAGAGCTACAGGATTTCACATACAAATTCAGGTATACCAGGTTAAAATCTGCTGTGTTTTACCCTACTATAGAGCACTGTTAGGTAGGGCCAGTGGACCCCACTGGTTTTAGAAATGAGATCTAAGGACTCGTCTGATTTTAGATGCCAGCCCTCTACGTCTGAGTTCATCTAGACTTTGTTTATATTCAGTGAATGAGCCAGGAGTTTTATGATACACAGAAGTTCATATTTTATGCTTTAGTACATTGTGGTGAGCATGTATCTTCAATATTGTGTCTTCCAAGTAAGGTTTACAATATACAGTTTGAACTTGGCAGTACTTTAGCTATAGCAGCTGTGTCAAATAATTTACTAAGAAAATGTTTTCATGACTGTGCTGCCCCAAAACACAGTTTAGTCCAATGAAATTTTGCTTTTGCTTCTCACAGATGTCCCTCAAGCTTGAAATTTGTATCTTAACATTGTAATTAATACACTATAGACCACATAATGTGCAACTGTACTAATTTCCAGAAGAGTAGAAATTTCTCATTTTTCATGTAAATATTTAATGATGTTTTTTAATTCAGAAAATTCCTGGTGTGAATAATATTTCTGATTTCTAAATGCTCATATCCCTGCTTAAATTTTAATTTGGCCTGTGGAAAATAGAATTCATAAACTAGGAAGTTTCTATATGAAAATATATTCACTCTTCATGTTCTCATATCAAAAGAAAAGTTAGAGTAAGCCTGAGAATTGGTCTCCAGACTCCACCATCTTAGAAGGATAAAGAATCCCATATGATTCATTGTTCCTCTTTGGTGCATATGAGCAATTGAAGATATTTGACCACTGGAAAACCCAACAGACTCCGCTTTCTGTTCGTGGCCCCATCTTTAATGTGTCAGTATAGGAATTATCACAAGGGACAATTTTGCAGAACTTTCTAAATCCAGGCAACTGTTTTTTAGTAGAATCCCATTTTGCTTAACCTTTTCAATATTCTGTGTTTCAGCTTCTTGACATTTACTCTTTCCACATCTAATCAATGGACCTCCAATCAAAGTAATTGGAAAAGTTCAGGTTGTATGATGTGCGAGTACAGTTCAGGAAATGAATCATTTTAATATTGATAACAATACTTTTTACACTTTTACATATAAAATCTTTTATACTGCTTTGATATTTCATTGCACATTATAAACGAGTATATTCTGTAAGGTTTGCACACCTTATCACCTTTGTTGATTCCTCTAGGCTTGCTCATGGGCAATTACCAATTACTGTGGGCAAAATCATAAAGAATCTAGGCCTAAACAATTTTTATAATGCCCTTATGAGCTATTGTGATCTATAGGCAACCTTTTCAAAACAAAGCAGAATATTCATTCTACAGAAATGCTGACTTGCTAAAAAATATTTTGTAATCTAAGTTTCAGTTTCAGTCGTCCACGATTCCCATGTGGGACAGTTCTATCCAATGCTTTTACCAACTACGTTTTAAAACCCATCTTTAGGTCCACACATCACTGCTGTGTGTGCCTAGCAAGGTTCCTAAGGTCATTAAAGATATGGCATTTCTGCTTAGAGGCACCTCTTGCTCTAATGAAGGGACCTGACTCCAACTTCACAAAGTCCTAAACAAACTTTCTGCAGAAGTTTGCAACTTTAAAAAATTGATAACCTCTTTTTTGGGGCACAAATGAATATTCCTTGTCACATTCACAGGAAAATTATATTTCAAAAACTATAATGAACTAAATGTATAAAAAGAGGACACCTAAGTGATACTTAAAACTATTAATGAAATAAAGAAAAAAAAGATCCTAAGAGGACAGCCTTAGTTGAGACATAACTTTTCTATGAAGTGAACTGTCAGGAGAGAAAGAACAAAAAGGGCAAAAGGAGAAAGAGAAAGAACAAATGAGCCATCTCTGAGCCAAGAAAAAGGCAATCAAAAAAGACACAAATAAATGGATAAATAAATTCCCAAACACTTTTGATTTTAGGAGAAACCTACTCACTTTCAACAAGTGACTCATTTTACACAAATAAATGTATATGACCTTGGTCAAGCCATTTAAACTGTCTGTTCCTCAGCTTCCCCGTTAATGCC